CACACACACACACACACACACACACATACACACACACACACACACACACACACACACACACACACATACACACACACACACACACACACACACACACACACACACATACACACACACACACACACACGCTCATGTCCAGCCAGCACAAGATGGTGATGGAAAAATGTAACGTTGGAAGGGAGATTATCCACGTTTAGCATCTTCAGAAATGACAACACCAAGAGTTAAATTCCTTATCAACATTAGGTAGACCAAAGAATAAAGATAGTCAAGACCTCAAAGCTCGGCCTGATGTTAAATTGATTGTTTGTTTGGAGGCTTGGCTTCATTTCATGGTATTGTTTTGATTTTGCTTTGTTTTCTGTTGTTGTTTTTATAGGGAAAGGTTGCTGTCCTTTTTTTTCAATAAATAAGAATATGATTGATTTTCTTTTTGTTTTGGTTGGGAGGATGTTTTTTAAGCTTTTTTCATCTTTTTCTCAGGAGTGTTTCTTTGACTTTATTTGTTTTATTATTTTTTTGTTTGTTTGTTTGTTTGTTTGTTTGTTTGTTTGTTTGGGTGTGCTTGTAAACTACAATAAAACTAAAAAATGTATAGCCTATCTATACCTATATCTTTATCTGCAGGAAAATAATCAATTATTTTTGTTCTTCTGTGTAATGATTGCCTTCTTCTCTTTATTCTCCAGACTTTGGAATACTGGAGGGGCAACAAGACAACAGGGGAAGTAAGTGTGATCCCAAGTCAGGTTGAATTGACAACTTGCTTTTGTTGATTTTTCTTACTGTACGAAACTCTGCTGGCATACTACAAGGAAGGTTTTTCTTTGTCTTCCTTTCTCTCAGTATCAACTTCATTTCTTTTCTTCTTAAAGTTCCAAATCTGATACAGATATCAGAAACCTTGGATTGCCACTCATTTCTCCATCCCCATGCTCTCAAGAATTAATATTATAAATTTTCCTGGTCAGGACAATGTCCCCCAACTGTTGTAGTTCTCTGCTCTAAGTAAATGATTAAGTCTTGGTTCGCCTCTGTCTGTTTTGCCAGTATCAGCCCTTGTTAAAAATATTCTTTTCTTTTCTCTTTCATTTACTCTGTCTTGTTTCATAAACTGTCCTAGGTTTAAGGCTCTTCTGACCCTCAGAGGGATGGAGAATAAAAATAGTCTTGTTTTCTTATCTACAAAAATAGCAATTTTTTCTCTCATCTCTATCTCAATGGTGTTGCCACCTACACCCCATAACGGCTTTAATTTGTATACCGTATCAGAAAATTTCTAAACGTACATTTTTGAAAAACATCCCCCCCCCTCCCCTTCCCCTTCTCTCACAAAATTTCTAAAGTTTTAAATCTATAGTTGAAAGAACTATTCCATCATACCAGACAATAGTCTTTATTCTAAATTGGTCTGCTTGTGATTGTATGGTCCGCCATGATAGTGTAAAGGCCTATGGTAATTACATGCAGAACAATGCACGCTAAAAGCTGTCATTTTTTAAAAAAATTTTGAGTGCATGACTGATCAACATTCTGCACCCCCTTGCATCACCTTCCAAAGTTTGCAAACCTTATCATTAAATCCTTAAGACCTGTCTTCCATATGTTTTGACAGCATTTCCTTAAGACTTGTCTTCTATATGTTTTGACAGCATTTCACAGCTATTCCTTAAGGCCTGTCTTCATGTTCACAGCATTTCACAGCTATTCCTTAAGACCTGTCTTCCATATTTTTTTACAGCATTTCCTTAAGACTTGTCTTCTATATGTTTTGACAGCATTTCACAGCTATTCCTTAAGACCTGTCTTCCATATCTTTTGACAGCATTTCCTTAAGACTTGTCTTCTATATGTTTTGACAGCATTTCACAGCTATTCCTTAAGACCTGTCTTCCATATTTTTTTACAGCATTTCCTTAAGACTTGTCTTCTATATGTTTTGACAGCATTTCACAGCTATTCCTTAAGACCTGTCTTCCATATCTTTTGACAGCATTTCCTTAAGACTTGTCTTCTATATGTTTTGACAGCATTTCACAGCTATTCCTTAAGACCTGTCTTCCATATTTTTTTACAGCATTTCCTTAAGACTTGTCTTCTATATATTTTGACAGCATTTCACAGCTATTCCTTAAGACCTGTCTTCCATATCTTTTGACAGCATTTCCTTAAGACTTGTCTTCTATATGTTTTGACAGCATTTCACAGCTATTCCTTAAGACCTGTCTTCATGTTCACAGCATTTCACAGCTATTCCTTAAGACCTGTCTTCCATATTTTTCCCCAGCGTGCGTGTTCAACTACCAGAGTACGGTTCAGTCCACCGGTGAGATCACATCACCAAACTACAACGGGCAGTATCCCCGTAACACAGAGTGCCATTATTTGTTCTACGGACGGGGCAAGGAGCGGGTGCACATCCAGTTTGTTGACTTTGATGTGGATGGAATAAATCCTAGGTGGGCCTATCCTTTTTTTTTACTCATTGTGTTAATTATCTCTGCCAACTTTGATGTGGATGAAATAAATCCTAGGTACACTTTTTTTACACGTTATGTTATTCATCTCAGTCAACTTCGATGTGGATGGAATAAATCCTAGGTACACTTTTATTTTACTTATTATGTCAACCATCTGTGTCTATTTTGATCTGAATGTGATAAATCTTAGGTACCCTTTTTTAAACTTTTCGTGTCAATTGTCTCTGTCAATTTGGATATGGAAGGAATGAATCCTAGGTATACTTTTTTTTAACTGCAATGTGTCAGTTGTATTTGCAAACTTTAGTGAGGAAGAAATAATAAACAGTTTAATGTTTTTACGTCCTATGTCAATGTATACAAATATCTACTGTCATTTATGATTATTCTGTACCACTATTGCGCCAAGAATTGATCAGGTAGGGAAAGTTCAAAACTTAAATTAAAATAGGATTCAAAGTCTCTCTTTTCCAGGAAAAATTTAATTTAGACCAGGTTCTGTGCAGGGCAAGAGTGTCTTTGAAATGATGACTTTTTTTCTTGGGGGGGGGGGGGTCTAGCAACATGTATAACTTCAATATATTCAGGTGTAGTAGGCTACTATATCAACAGTTCTCAGTGGCGTTGCGTGGGTTGAGGACAAGGTGGTGCATAATTGGAAAGTGAGCAAATGGGCAATAGGCTTTGTAGCTACTATTAAGATTTCCACAGAAAGTCAATTAGAATCTCCAGGATATCCTGTAATCTACATCTATCGATATTTACAACTGTTTCTAGAAGAAACGGCATAAAAGCATCAAATAAAGTGAAACTATACTAACAACTCACTATGCTCACAATTAGAGATTTAAAGATTTCTAATCACTTTGTGCAGCACCAGGACTTGCTACACAATAGAGGGAGACAACAGTTTCGATACCCATTCTTCACTGAGTCACCGTAGACTCTACCAGTGTAGTAGATTGGCTTGAGGAAACTTGGATCGAATTTTTAGCTTGCACCAAATTGGTGCTGCGAAGAGCAGTTTCAAGCATCTTTCTTCATGTGCGGAAAGAACCATGCCTAGATTTCTCTACAGTGACAAAAATAACTTTGGTGCAAATATTTTGTTTGCTCCCAGCCGACAATACCGCAAGCGGTGCGACAAGCATAAACCATCCTCGCCATCTGTCTCTTCAGTGGCGCAACCAGCGGATGATGGATGGCAAGGATGTAGTAATGTAGATCTAGAGCACTGACTGGTTTAGAACAATAAGAAAAGGGGTGGGGGGTGAAGGCCAGGGTTAGGTGGAGCGCTTGCACCAATTGCACCAATGGCGCCCGCCACTGACAGTTCTCCATTTTATGTTGGGGGTGGTTGAAGGGCATCATTGTCAGTCCTTTTTGTTAACTGTTCCTCTTTGGTGTCTGCTTGTCTATCGTGCTTTTTGTCAAGACTCAATAACTTTTTATTGTGTCAATGTGCTTCTCTTCACTCCAACAAGCAAACAAACAAACAACCAATAATAATAATAATAGATAGCATTTGTATAGCGCATACCCCCGCTCAGCAGCAGGCTCTATGCGCTTTACACTATATTATTACCCCAGCAGACCATAGAACACTCCGAAACATTCTCAGCTTCCTGGGAAGCATACAGTGCGAGCAACCGATTAAGCGCTCAAACACTAACAAACTGACAAGATCTTTCGCTGTCTATAGCCGGGTACCCATTCCCACCTGGGTGAAGTGAGGAAAATTCATGTAAAGTGCCTTTCCCAAGGACACAACGTCGGGCCCTTGACGGGATTCGAACCCACGATCTTACGGTTGCGAGTCCGAGAGCCTAACCACCAAACAAAATACAAACAAACAAACAACCAAACAAAATACAAACAAACACACAACCAAACAAAATACAAACAAACAATCAAACAAAATACAAACAAACTGTTGTCTGATGTCTCAGGTGTGAGGAAAGCACCAACAGTGACTATGTGTCCTTCTCAAACTTTGCCGAGACCGAAGACCGCAAGATGACCAGATTATGTGGCACTCCATCAAAGGAGAAACGAGAGATCTGGTCAGATGGGCCTTTTTTCCGAGTGATATTCAAGTCTAACGACATCTACGACTCGACGGGATTCCATGCCTACTACCAGTTCATAGGTATGATTTGTGAACAGTAGCTCTAAATTTGTACCTCACATAATTTACAAATGTTCAGTTTTTAAAGAATTTTTTCGGTGGTTGGCAGGTGCTCTTGTATGGCTTGCTGCTTGTTATTTCCTATCAAACATCTATCGTCCTTATCTCTCTTCCTTCTTTTTTGTGTTTGTTCCTCTCTTGTAACATCTCTAATCTTCGGCACTTATATGACCTTATTGTGTTGCAAGTGCCGTACATTTTCTAAAACAGAGTGAATGTTAAAAGAATTTTCCTCATTTTCAAATTTTAGAACATCTCAGTTGGGGTTCAAACCAGAGTCATAAGCATAAAAGCCATACAACAGCCTGCCCATTTCAGCTAGAGACTAGAATCCACCCCCATTCATACTTAGACCTACCTTTACATGTTTATTCTCTGTTGCCATTGCATGTTCAAGGTTGAGGGAAGGTGCAGTTTCTATGGTAGGTCAACTCTGAAGCTCTTTCAAATGGAATGTTGTAATTTCTCAGGGCTCCTTTTACTTCCTCAATCCATGTTCTGCAAGGTCTACCTCTTCCTGCACAGCCTGATTACTTCGTGTTATAAGCTCTCGAGGCTGGCTGATGACCAATCACTTTTACTCTTTGTTGTTCTATGAAATGCAGGAAGGACTCTATGCCAACAGTTGCTCATATATCTTCATTTCTCTGCGTGACTCTTCTTGTGAAGTTTAGAGTTTTGCGGAGACTATTTTTATCTCACACCTCTCAAAGTACAGATAAATAAATGGTGAAATAGTATGGGTTAATGCTCCTATCAACACAATAAGGTTATTTAAAAGATGGGACCTCCAAGTTTAATTAACGTCCATCTCCGAAAAGACCGAGCCAAATGGAAATTTCGTGTAAAGTGTCTTTCTCAAGGATACAACGTTGGGCCGAGCTGAGGCTCGAGCCCCTGAACCCACAACCTCACGATTACAAGTCCGGTAGCCTAACCAGTAGACTACCAGCGCCACTCATAACACACACAAAAATTCTGACTTTCTCATGTTTTCATTCCAGGTCCAGATGTAGAGACCCCACCCCAGCTTCTCCCCAAACCAAGCGATGACCCACGGCGAAACGCAGCAAGCAGCAGTGTCTACCCCTCTCGCAGCGGTTACCTGCCCCTAGCGCCCCACATATCGCTGACTGCGGCCGTCTGCGTGGTTGTGATGCTGCTCTCACAGTGCGCCAAGTCCCGATAGGTCGACACAGACAGGGTTGTCACTGAACTAATAACAAATTCTTTTCTTGGCCAAATTTATTTTCGTTAATTTTTCCAAAAATTTACACCAAACAAAAATTACGAAAAAAGAAAGAGTTTGTAAGTATAGTAACTTCACTAAACGGAACCTTTTCATATTGCTATGACTAAACCTATAGGTTTACTCCTTGTAAAGGCATTTTTGGGGGTCAAAGATCAAGAGGAAAATTTTGTCACCAACAGATTTTTGGCTTCGGACAAGTCTGGGTTTAGATCTATGCAAAAAAAGACGGCAAAACTACCCTACCTCGGCAATCTACTACAAAGAATATAATATAAGAGTTTCAGGAATTGTATCCCCTCCATGGCCGCACTGGCTCAAATCATGATGTGTCATTTTCATACTCAAGATCATAACAAGCATATTTTTTTTCTCCATCGATACGTAAATCGAGAACTGCCTCTTTTTCCTCTATGAAAGATAAAAAGAGTGATGAAATTTATTGGTTTAGATCATTTGAATGTGATTTATTTTACAGAAAGAAACCATGTAAATTCATAACTATTTAATATTGAAGTTGTTAATCCAGTTTTGACAGACTTAATAAACAATAATAAATAGCATTTGTATAGCGCAAATTCCCTTTTAACAGCAAGTTCTATGGGCTTTACAATCTACTTATACACGATATGGCTGTGTTTTTATTGAAAATTTTAGAAAATAAAACTTCATCAGTCCACCAAGAAAAATATCTGTTACTAAAAGACAGACTTTCATTTGAGATAAAGAGATATTTGATGTTTCTCCAAGGAATGTCAGTTTACTTATTCACTGCCGAACTGAGTTGAAAGTTGTAGAAGGTTTAGACGAGGAATATTCATCTTCTGGAAAATCTTTCGAAAAGTGAATATTTGTTATTTATTTGATGTTTGACATTCTGATCTGACTCTCAAAAAACAGGGACATAAAGGAGAAAAAAAAAAAGTAAACAGACATAATAACAGTTTTGTTTTAGTTTTAAATGATATTATGGTACATCTCACGCTGTCATTTAAAAAAACGGCCTTAACTGAACAGTCGATGGCAACAGATTGAAATGCTATTAAACTGTGATATGTAGCCTACATGTAATACTTTGAGCGATGACGAGTGATCTGTCTGCATAGTATTTTGCAGATCGACGTGCAGAGAATTTTTTTGTTTCATTTTATTGTTCTTATTCATCCATATGCGCCCTCAGAGCTTCTAGCGACCATTTTTTCACTTACCTTTTTTATGCGTATCTTTTTATATCATAATGACATATTTTGGTCTTAATTTAATGAACGTGTCATATACCCCTCACAGAGGCATGTCAGATGATGGATAATTCTGCAGGAAAGGTTTAAGTTAACCAAATAAGTTTTAATCTTCTCAATACAACTCAATGAAACCCGGATTGGGTTTTTTTTAACTTTTGACAAATCAAAAGTGCAGAAAAAGCAAAGATATCGATCAATGCTGGACATTAGGACATAGTATCTTTAGCTGTTTGTCACAGCTATTTACGCTGTAATCGATATACAATTGAATTTTACTCAGTAGACAAAGAAAATTGTGACTGTGCTGAAAAGAAAAGTAGATAAGAAAAATAGATAAATATTTACTCTCATACATAGATGCCTTGAAAAGTCTACCAAAACTGAATGTAGGCACTGTCGTAAAAAATTGCATAGCACACCTGCCTTGAAAAGTATGCCATCTAACAAAAATGCATGTATAGGGACTCCTTAGGTATAAACTTCCTTGGGAATAAAAGGGATATGAACAACCAAATGCTGACTTGTAAGTTATTTTAATGCGTTAAGTTGATGAAAAGTAATGACCATAAACTTTAATCTGCAGGAACCCCTCTCCTTCTTTGTGTCCTGGAGTTGTGGAAGTCATAAACTGAAAACCATGATCCCAATAAAAGGGTTTGATAGTAAGCCTACCATGTATACCATCAGCCTGCTGTTCAACTGTTCTAAGCCCAAGAGAGAGAAAAAAAAAACCTGCTTCATTCTTTTTGTTTTTAATTGTACCCAAATCATTTATATTTCCTTGCTTTATTTGATATTAAGAAAGTGAATTTCAACAAAATATTTCTGTAGCACATGCAACTGATACCACAGATTAAGATAACAGCCTATGATTTTTTTAAAATAAAAAATGTTGGGCTTTTTCCATCTGAACAGCTGGCAGGTGATATGTAATTTGATCTTTTAGGAACTGACACAAAAAGCAGGATTCCCCCCCCCCCCCCCCCCCCCCCCCAACCCAACCCCCACTTCACCAACCTCACCCTTCACCCATTTTTTCTGTTTCCCAAATTATCCCTACCACCATCCACTGTACACTTATACCACCATAATAATAATAATAATAGAGAGCATTTGTATAGTGCATATCCCCGCTCAACAGCAGGCTCTATGCGCTTTACACTATATTATTACCCCAGCAGACCATAGAACACTCCGAAACATTCTCAGCTTCCCGGGAAGCATCCACTTTACACTTAGAGTGCACTGGAATGCAATCCAGCCTGTTGTTCTATTGGTACCTGAGTTGGAGTTCTGCGCATCTTTGACTTAAAAATTCACCCAGATGGAGTGAGTGTAAGAGGCTGAGAGCTGAGCAAATATCACGTGCCGTTCTTTTGACTAATTTATAAGATCTATCGAGGCCACAACGTTTTATGGCATGAGTTGTTCTTGCATTGTACAGATCACGTAAATCTCCTGACCTTCGAAGAGGTCAAGGTTTCCATCAGGGAAATGACTATGACTTGTCCTTTTACATGTACTAACATCCAGCCCAAACAGCCCCCTTCCCACTTCGCCCCCATCCATCCTCTTCCCATATTTTACCTCAGCACACAAGGCAGGAAATTTACTAACATCAGACAACACAACATTGCTGCCCCATGCAAGTTGTACCTTTCTACATGACATGATAAATGCCATCTCTCTCTGACTTTTATTTCTGCTTTATGATGTTCATATACTATGATGTATACTTTGATTATTTCTTTTAACTACATGTGTATTGAGATAGACAATGTATGTAATTCAAGTGTGAATTCATTCATTCATGCCTCAACTGATATGGTATAAATGTGATGCACTCTTTATCTACTTGTGAGATATTTTTTTGATTACTGGTACCATGTTGAAACTGTATAAGGAATATATTATTCAAACTTATGAACTTGTGACGTTTTTGGTCGTTATTATTGTCTCTACTAACTGGTCTTGTTAAATACAGAGTAATCTATTGCTCATTTGTGTCATAACCCTGAGAGAAAAAAATACATGTATGTATGTATTACATTTTCAATTCCATCAGCACTGCATGCAGTTTGTACTTTCTGTAAATAATATGAGTCTGAATATGTCATAATGTTATTTGTGGATAAATGTTCTCGTAGGGCGGAAGGTGTTTAAAAAGTTCAGAGAGCTGTTAGTGAAAGGAGCAGCTGGGTGTAAAGATATTCAAGCGATATTATTATTACAGTGTTCACAGGTGGTACGTGATTGGTTAACTGTGGTACACAGAGGCGTGGGTGATGAACGAAGGGTCGTGATTGGGGGCACTTTATGTCAAAGATGGCCCTAGTAACAGTTAGATCTTTAAGTTCTGTTCCCACTTTTTGCGAGTACTGATTTGCTAACAGTTCCATTCTTGTTTAAACCTTTTGTATCTTCTGTCGTAATTTCAAGCAAGGTTAAAAAGAACAATTTCTATTTAGCCTGATAAAACTTAAAGAATGAGTATTTTTCTCCATGAAGAATCTTGAGGGAAAGAAATTATAATCAAAATTTTCTGAGAAATGTGCAGGGTAGTGTAGGAGCCTTATCTCTGTAAGGCGTAGAGCAGGAATCGGGACATGCTTTTGTCTTAGTGTTTTTCCTTTTCATTTTCAATGAAAATGTGTGTATAACGGTGAGTTTACATTTTCGCCCGTATTTACGTATGTCTGCTTTTTATTTGATGAATACCTGTGTATAGCTTGCAGTTTGTCAAGACAGGTCTTAAGTCAATGTCATTGTGAGTACAGCTGTACTATCATTCCAAAAGTTTTCTTTTGACAAAGATAGTGTTGTTCATCTTTGTCATTATTGAAAGTAATATAATCATGTCACCTTCCGTCTGTTAACGTGGGTATTGTGCCTGCTATACCTAGCAAAGCTGAAGAAAAGACCAGGACTAAACAGAGTTGGATGATTTTAGAGTTTTATTTACTATGACATGGATTTCAGTTTGTCTTACTCAAACTCACTGCGCCTTTTATTTAGCTGAATCTCGAGATGAAAGGATTCCTCTTTGTTTTTTCTTTCTCTTGTTGAGATTGTAGTGCTTGAAATGTGGATGCTGATACTGATATTGTGTTTGGAGACGGCTGGCTAAAGAGCTTATCACTTGCTTGAGGTGTAAGTTTATTGCTTTAACGAAGGCAGAAGGAGATGTTTAGCAAACTGAGAGACCATTGCTCTAGCACTGAAAGACTAAGTCAGATGATCTGGGAATTAAGTATTTACATAGTACTAGTACATCCTCGGATGTTATATTTCTGTTATTAGACTAGGCTGGTCTAACCTCAGTTTTATAAATTATGCAAAATAGACTGTTTTTAGCTCTCAGTAGGATATAGAAATTTACATTACGGTTACACAGTTTTGTACATTGAGAAGAAAGTCCTTTCAAAGTAAATAAAGACCATGATCCTAGTTGTATTTCTTGTATAATAGTGTAAGATAATACTTAAGGACATAAAATACAGTAACAATAGTTAAGACAAGACATGGTAAGTACACTATGTGTTCTTTAATAAGTTCTCATGAGATTAAAAAATTGAATATTTTCTGGGAATGCTGAGCGAAGAAATTAAGAACATATTATTTTTTGATAAACCTAATATGATAGTAAAGGAATAATGAAAACAAAATATTCTTGCAACTTTTTAGATTACATAAAGTCTTTTGGGAAACAAAAACAATAAACTATCTTGCTAATGGTTAGATATATACAGATTCTTATCTGTAAGTAGTAATATTATAGTTTTACTCTCAAATCAGTTAAACATGACATGGGGTCAATGTGATTACATGCTTCTCGGCTACAGAAGTTTAAAAACTAGGCTGGAATGAGAGCTGTTATATAAGCCGACTGCACAGAAAAAAAGAAAGGTTGCATAATGTGCATAGATTCATAGCTTTGTAGAAGAAACTGAGTGGAATGTGTGCAAATGAAAGTGTGAAAGGATACCAAAGTTTTGGTGAACTGTTCTTTACTTGTACTTATTATGCCAGTTTCTGTTTTTTGAAAAGTGATGTTAACTTTTTCTTTGTACCTTAAGAAATTGGTTGTTAATGCCACCATAACTTATACACAATACTGTCCAACGACTGACCTGGTTACATGATGTACTTATAATTGCCATCTTTTAAACATTTTTTTTTGTTTCGTTTTTCCCCCAAGTATATATTATAACCTATCGATTATCAATCTAGGCCATCATCTCTAGTCTTCATGTCTGTACTTTATTTTCTCTTTTGATTTGAGCCTTTTTCCCCTGAAATATTATACTTTATAAACATTTTTATTCTTAATGAAATATTTCTGTTTAACTTCATTATGACATTGTACGTAATTTTGTTTTCTTGGAACCACTAAGGGAGAATAAAAGAGGGTTAAAACACATTTATAAGTGCATTTGTTCTCTTCTTTCTTTGAGACAGACTCTTTCAATAGACTGGCTGTGATACAGCTTTATAATGGACTACTAATTAATTTCTCAAGAGGACTGTTTTAACTCATTGAAGACGCGCTTTCTGGTCATTCGTCAACGCTTGGAGATGCAAAACATATTTTTCTATTTTATTTTCTTTATCTGAAACGTTGAAAGGCTTAAAATAGTGTGCATACTGTGAAATATGCAAAATTATTTTTCTGATTTGTGTATGATGGTTCCACATGGGCCAAAATGTTGACTTTTCTCTGCAAATAATCGGACATATGTGTCCGTTATGTTCCCAAAGAGTTAAATAATAGATAGCATTTATATAGCGCATATCCCCACTCAACAGCAGGCTCTATGCGCTTTACATTATATTATAACCCCAGCAGACCATAGAACACTCTGAAACATTCTCAGCTTCCCGGGAACCTTACAGTGCAAGCAGCTGATTAAGCGCTCAAACACTAACAAACTGACAAGATCTTTCGCTGTCTATAGCCAGGTACCCATTCCCACCTGGGTGAAGTGAGGAAAATTCGTGTAAAGTGCCTTTCCCAATGACACAATGTCGGGCCCTTGACGGGATTCGAACCCACGACCTTACGGTTGCAAGTCGGAGAGCCTAACCACTAGGCCACCGACGCCACTAAACGCCGTAAAACAGTTTGTCTGCTAAGGTCAGAGGCTTCATTTACTTTTTATTTTTTAACTAGGCCTGGATACCGAAAATTACGATGCATTTGATTAAAAATAATTAGACATTGGTGTTTGCTTCTTGTTACCAGATCTGGACTTCACGATCACTCAGAAAAAAAACTAGAGGGACATAATCATGGAAAAACTGTTTTATCAAAGATTTCGTTGCGTCCCTTCTTCCTTTGGGAGAAAAAAACTAAAAGTAGTAAAAGCAAGTCTCACACAGACCGTGTGTGTGTGTGTGTGTGTGTGTGTGTGTGTGTGTGTGTGTGTGTGTGTGTTTGTTCAAAGTGTGTGCTTGCATGCGTGGGTGTGGTATCAGTGGTCTGTTTCTTTTGTGTGTTTGAGCGGAGAGAGAGAGAGAGAGAGAGAGAGAGAGAGAGAGAGAGAGAGAGAGAGAGAGAGGGAGGGAGAGGGAGAGAGAGAGAGAGAGAAAGAGAGAGAGAGAGAGAGAGAGAGAGAGAGAGAGAGAGAGAGAGACGGGGGGGACTAGGGGACATAAGGTGAGAGAGAACGACAGAAATACAGGGAAAGAAAAAGAAAGTCGAGGTGGTTGGAGGGGGGGGGGGGAGGGTGAAGTTGTTAGTGTGATACACCCCCAATGAACACAAAAGATCATTTAGGAGGCTGCCTCCGTGAATCCGACTCTGCCTGTCAGAACCAACTCGAGATGAGAGGAATACAGCATTCAAGAAGAAAGGTTAAGATAACCGTATAATACTAATAATAATATGTGTCACGACGCGGTGGAATCAGGCTCTCGTCAATTTTAGAACCTGTAGATCTAGAGTTATTAGTATCATCTTAAAGCTTGTTCAATTTTCTTTTCTTTTTTTTTTTTGAATAAAAAAAAAAATATCCATTTATATTGAAAACAAGTCGAGATACTTGCGAATGAAGAAGGTAAGGGGTCACCTAGTTTCAGAGGGTTATTTAGTGAGAAAATTGTCGTCAAAGACATAGTTATTTCCTTAGCTTAAGAGTACGTGAAAACTAAAAATAAAATAAAAAATTTTTGGTGCCTTTAGTCAACATTTTTCAGTAAAATCCACACCGAAATGTGTTCTTTAATGGGCATGAAAGGTGTTGAGCCAAAAAACAAAAATTCAATAAAAATTCGAATATCTGCGGGAAAATGCCAGCTTATTCACTTTGATTATTTTGACAAGCCACAAGCGCCTGATTTCACCACGCTGCCTCACATGTACTCAATAATAATTATCCCACAGGGAATCGAACTCACGCCTATGACGTGAAGTGGCGAAACACCTAACCGCTACACCACAGACCCCAGTTTATCCCCTGTACCAAAGGTAAGATCTAAAAATGAGTCAAACAGCTTACAATAGCCCCTGACAACAGATGGCCGGACTGACAATCACATTGGCAGACAGACAGACAGACAGACAGACAGACAGACAGACAGACAGACAGACAGACAGACAGACAGACAGGCAGACAGACAGACAGGCAGACAGACAGACAGACAGACAGGCATGCTGACTGTCAAACAGGCAGACAGGGAGACAGATGCCCTGGTA